CCCCCCCCCCATTCACAAAGTGCCCCCATCCATGTCCCTGGATTCTTAAGCTATCCCCTTGGCACCGTGGTCAGAGACGCTGTGTCTGACCCAGGTGGTGCCTGCAGAGTGCCCTGGGAAAGGAAGGAGCACTGACTTTGGGGTTTTGAGGGTCAGTTAGGAGGTGGTAGCACCTGGAAAGAAGGACTCTTTCGCCTCTATCCCGGGACAGTTATGGAGGATTAGGAGGTAGAAGAGGAGAAGGAAGATGGTTTCTATCTCATGCCCCCCCCTTTTCTCCCCCCTCCCAAAGGGAGTGGGGAGAGCCCAGGATGACCCTCAGCTGTTCCAATCCAGTATTTTTTTTTCTTTTTTAAAATTACTGTATTTATTATGACGATGGTGACTCCCCAGTGCACAGGGGGGCCAGATTCTGTGTTTCTCTAACCTCTTTGTAAATAAATGCACACTGTTCCATACGTGGTGGACTCTCCTTCTGTGGTAAAATGGCTTTCCTTTGGACTCACGTTTAGTGAGCAACTACTATTTGCTTTGAACATAGGGGTCTAGAGCCAGGTGGCAGATCTCAGGGTGGGTCTCAACCTGATTTTCCTACCATGGGGCTGTTTTACCACAATGAATCTGACCTTTGATTGAGTTGTGTTTGGTCACAAACATGGTGTCATAAAAATATAAGTGAAGGGCCAACCCAAATTTCTTTTCTCAAAAGTCATCATAGTCAGTTTGATGTGTATCCTTGAATGTTTCCCTTTATGTGTTTGCATACATATGTGAATTTAAGTAACTATATAAATATATAACTATATTATACATATATACCATGTATATGTACATATATACATATATAAATTGAACCATATATTTGCATTATTTATCACTTTTATTCTATTATTATTATTATTTTCATTTGGTGATGTTAAGTCATCTGTGTCCAGAGATTTCTTTATGGGAAAGATTTTAATTAAGAATTAGATGGGGGGGGGGGGCGCCCGGGTGGCTCAGTCGGTTGAGCATCCAATTCATCCAATTCTTAATTTTGGCTCAGGTCATGATCCTAGGGTCCTGGGATAGAGTCCTGCGTTGGGCTTCATGCTGAGCCTGGAGCCTGCTTGGGATTCTCTCCCTCTCCCTCTCTCTCTTTCTCTCTCTCAAAAAAAACAAAAACAAAAACAAAACACAAAAAACAAATCGGTTTCTTTGATGGTTATGGTACTGTTTAACTTTACTATTTCTTCCTGTGTCAGTTTTACTAAGTCGTATTCTTCTAGGAAATTGTCCATTTCATCTCAATTTAGATGACATTTTCCTATCGTTGTATAATGATTGTTTTTTAAAGATTTTATTTATTTTATTATTTTTAATTTTTTTTTTTTTTT